GGTATCGAAACCCGGATTCTAGCGTTGTAAGTCCGCAGACATACCGCTGTGCTACTGGGGGGCATAACATAAAATAAACAAGTAGAAGAAGAAGACTGAAATGTAAAACAATTATTGTTAAGTAATTTCCTAAGTTGATTCATCCTGTATACTTAAGAATTTGTGAATTATAAAATTGCGATTGAGTAAGAAATGTCATTATTTATGTGAAAAACATGTTTCGAATGTATAGTCGATAGACTGTCAAATCTCTGTTATTGAAAGTGACAACCGTCTTCCAATGTATACTTTCTCTATACAATGGAAAAATTACATAATGTAATACGTTAAACATAGAATTACAGGGTGCTTAATAACATACGACTTTGTCGGTAACAGGGTCCCTAATAACATAAGACTTTGTTGGTAACAGGGTCTCTAATAACATAAGTCTTTGTTGGTAACAGGGTCCCTAATAACATAAGACTTTGTTGGTAACAGGGTCCCTAATAACATATGACTTTGTTGGTAAAAGGGTCCCTAATAACATAAAACTTTGTTGGTAAAAGGATCCCTAATAACACATGAATTTGTTGGTAACAGGGTCCCTAATAACATAAAACTTTGTTGGTAAAAGGGTCCCTAATAACATAAAACTTTGTTGGTAAAAGGGTCCCTAATAACATACGACTTTGTCCGTAACAGGGTCCCTAATAACATAAAACTTTGTTAGTAACAGGGTCCCTAATAACATATGACTTTGTTGGTAACAGGGTCCCTAATAACATAAACTTTGTTGGTAAAAGGGTCCCTAATAACACATGACTTTGTTGGTAAAAGGGTCCCTAATAACATAAAACTTTGTTGGTAAAAGGGTCCCTAATAACATAAGACTTTGTTGGTTACAGGGTTCCTAATAACATACGAGTCACACACAGCAACGTAGGCAAAAATACCGTCAATATTGCAATCAGTTCCACTAGTTGTTGTTTGGGCTTCTTTTGTATTTTAAATATAAAACCAATTATTTCCTCTTGATTTATTTTGGTAAGTTATTTACAGTGAGTGTTGTAAAAGGCACAAACATAAAAGTATCAATATGATGTACTATGTGATCCCTACTAGTAATAACATAAAAACGAGTTAGTAATTTTAGCGTTAAAGGATATGAAGAAATTCAATGTTAGATTTTTTTGAGCTGTATTAAAAAAGAGTAATTGCGAATTTGTATGAGAAAGAACAGTTATGCAAAAATCATTTTGCATGTATTAATTCTTTAGTAAGCATGCAGTCTTTTATCATATTAGGTCTCTCAAATATGTGAAATGGGACAATATGAAGATGAGTTGGTTTGCTCATATTTTGAAAGATACATATTTGATACATGGTAATAACTACATTAACACCAATATTTCCTTTACAACCATTTCTGTATTTGATATGATAGTCAACGGTTTCCTTTCACTGTCCCTCCTGAACCGATTGTACAAAATAAGAACAGACACTATCAATGTATAAAAGCTCAGATTTACTCGTTTCTAAGGTTTTTAAGCCTCTTTCAGATAATCAATTGTACAAAAAATTCATTTGTGATCCACTGTAAACATAATAAGCTTGTTTTTAATATACGTATTTCTTAAATGTCCGCAAGATTTGAAGGAGGCAAATGATTTGATGCGTTCTGATGCTGGAACTCCATTTTTAACATGCTTTTTATAGAGTTCCACTAGATGGTTTGCAAACCCTTTTTATGGAAGTGTTTTATTTTTTATCTCTTTAGTTATTGAAACTATCTTTAATCAATATCATGATCAAGAAACAACGACAAATCCAGGTAGGATTACTTTCATGTGTTCAAACTTTACAACGATAAATCCATGTAGGCTTACCTTCATTTGTTTAAGCATTACAACGACAAATCCAGGTAGGATTACTTTCATGTGTTCAAACTTTACAACGATAAATCCATGTAGGCTTACCTTCATTTGTTTAAGCATTACAACGATAAATCCAGGTAGGATTACCTTCATATGCTCAAGCATTACAACGATAAATCCAGGTAGGATTACCTTCATGTGTTCAATCATTACAACGATAAATCCAGGTAGGATTACCTTCATGTGTTCAAGCATTACAACGATAAATCCAGGTCGGATTACCTTCATTTGTTCATACATTACAACGATAAATCCAGGTAGGATTACCTTGATGTGTTCAAATATTCAAATCCAGGTAGTATTACTTTCATGTGTTCCAATATCCAAATCCAGGTAGGGTTACCTTCTTGTGTTGAAACATGCAATCCCAGCAGGATTACCTTCGTGTATTGAAATATTTTTTTCCAGCGACATTAACCACATGTATTCAAACATCCAAATCCAAGTAG